TTTGCAAGCCCCTTTTCTGCTCCCTGTGCCCTGCCCTCGCCCCTCACCACCCGCGGTGCCGAGGCAGGGAAGCGTTCAGCTTCGCCTGCCAGGCTGTGTGCAGGAGCACAGGGATGTTCAGGGCTCGGCGTTTATTTTTCTTACGACTGACTCCGTGTGTGTGTTTTGGCCAGCATTCCCCATCCGGGGCTGGGAGCAGCCCTGGGGTGAAGGCAGGGGTGAGCCCTCTCCCTCCAGCAATTTTCTGTGGGAATTTCAGTGTCAGGCAAAGAAACTGCTCCTTAAGTTTCATTTACATGAAAAGCGTTGTGTTTTCTAGGGATGGGGGGCTCGGTATCAGCCAGGTGATCGTGGCTAAAGCCAGGGAGGGCAGCTGGAGCTGGAACGGCTGTGCCATCACTGCATGCCTTGGGCATGGCCGGGTACCCACAACACGCTGCCATTGTCAGCCACAGCAAAGCAGCACAGCCCCTGTCCCCTGTCCCCTGCCACCAGGTCACTGCTCCGCCTGCTTGGCTGCCATCCAGCAGGATCTGCAGTGCCAAGGGTCAGGCTAGGTGGTCTGGAGGTCCTTCCTGCTCTTGGCACTGGGAGTTATGAGTTCTGTAGGATCCATTTGCAATCAAGGAGAGAGGCCAGCACACTGTGCCTGCCCCCTGAAATCCCCGGGGCAACCGGGCTGACTTGAAAGGGATGTCCCAGCTCTGGATACCTGCCCCCAGGCTCTCTCTGGCTGTGGACACATGCCCTAGACCCCAGCCTGAAATGTGAACCCCTGCCTTAGGAAGACTCAGGGCACCGGGTTGCGCAAGAGCCCAGCTCCAGCCTCTCACAGCCGTGGGGTATTGCATGCCATGGTTTTTGTGTGTCTGGAAGTGATTTGGACAAGCCGATCTGCTGTTAACCCTAAACAAAACAAAGTCCTCTAAAAAATAGAAAAAATTAAAAAAAATCGTGTCTCACTTATTCTTCAATCATCAGCCAGGAGCGGCAGAGGTTTCAGGCGAGATTTCCTTCACGTTTCTGGAGCTTCTTATTAAAATTTTGAAAGTGCAAATCAGCACCAGTCCACAGGAGAGCCCACACAGCTGCAAGGAGTCTCCTCTCCTCTCTCCCCCATCCAGAGGGAGCTGGAGCACTGCTTTGCTGGAGAAGCAGTCCCTGCCACCATCCAGAGCAGAGCAGAGCCCCTGGAGGCTTTGGCTCTTTGCCCCTGCCCTGGGAAAAGCAAGGTGGATGCTGAGGGATCTGGGAACTCTCAGGCTGGTACCTATGGCTGCCTGTGGAATGAAGTGAGCAGCCTTTGGGGCAGTCAGTCAAGGCAGCTGATGGGGACATCCCCCTTCTCCCAGGCTTCAGCCAAGCATGTGGTGCTTTCCTTGATCACATCCTCTCTGTGACCTCCTCCATAGCCCTGGCAGAATCCTTGGCTTCCAGGTGTGCTCAGAGCTGCCCTGGAAGCCAGGGTTAGAGTTGGTGGCACCAGCTGGCATTTGGGATGTGGTGGGGATGAGCTGCCACATGGTGGGAGTGGGGGCAGCTCAGATTTTCTTAGCCCTGGAATGATACTAAGAGCCGAGGCAAACTCCCCCCCAGGGGGCCAGAGCCTCATGTCCTCCACACTTGCTCTGTGCAGCCACTCCAGGCCTGGGCTTCTTCCACAAGGGATGGTCAGGGGCTCAAGATGCTCTCCCTGTTGCAGGGGGCACAGATCAGGCTGGTGCTGCTGTCCCTGCTACAACGGGATAATTGGAGAACTCCTGACCATGGAGCAAAACTGGGCACTTCAACCCTCAAGCTCGCATGAAACCCAGCCTCACACTTTGCATTTACTGTTGGTTCTGCATCATTAGGAAACCATCAGGGAAAAAAAAAAGAAAAAAAAAGGAAAAAATTGCAAAGAAGGAAACAAATAGAGAGGAAAAAAAGGATGAAGAGCCAAGGAGGAGGCAAAGCACAGAGAGAGTGGAAGGAGAGCTGTGAGGATAGAGCAGTATGCAAAGCACACAAAAATGCCTGGATGCAGAAATGTCTGGGTGCAAAGTACACAAAATATCTCCAGGCTAGCTCAGGAGGAGCCTGCCTTCACGGGCAATGGCACTCTGCTTTGCTCCCCTCCCTTTCCCCACAGCCAGCACCACAGAGCTTCACTCCAGGGACTGAAAGCCCCCCCACCCAGGTGTGAAGTTGCAGGGTCTGTGCCTGGCTCAGCTTTCCTGCAGGGGGGATAAAGCCCTCCTTTCCCCCTTCTGCCCACAAGGCTGGAATATGGGGTGCTGGTGACCCACTGGCTCCTCACCAGCCGCATCTGCAGCCGCACACAAGGAGGAAACTCTGGGTGGGCATCCCTGGGCAGAGCCAGGATCGGTGCGTGCCAGCCGAGTGACCTCTCCCCATGCCCTCCTCGCTGGCCTTGGAATCAGGCAAGCTGGATCCCAGTCCAGCACACAGCCTCGGGAGTTGGTGTATTTTTTAATTTCTTTTTTTTCATTCCCTCCCCAGTTTTATTGAGCTGGCAGCTGGCTGACCCCACCCCGGCCCCTGGCTTCCCTTCCTAGCATCCCGGCAGCCCAGCACCACACCTAGCAGAGGAAGCGTGGCGGGACGGCCGCCTCTGCTCCCCAGCACAAAGGCATTTTTCCTCCCCGCCCCCAGCCCGCCCGCTCCCGATTATTTCTCCCAGCCAGGTCCGTTGCCGAGCTCCCACCCGGCTAAAAATAGATGTAACACCACCTGGATCATCTCAAGGGGCATCGGGGATTTGAGAGCTCCAAGAGCGGCTGGTGAGGATGGCAAGAAGGGAAGAGCCTGTTGCCAGCTGAGCCTGATGGTTATTTCTGCTGCTGCTGCCTGTGGTTGGTGCAGAAGCCCCAGGCTGAGGTTGTGCAACCAAATCCACAATTTGCATCCAGGTAACAGAGGTGGCAGGTGGATGCTGGCAGGATCCTGTGGTGGGAAAATTGCTTTTTATTCTCATTTTGCAGAGGGCGCAGGGCAGGGGCAGGATGGGTCCTTCGGCTTGGCTACAAGTGCTGCACACTCCACTGGTGCCCAGCACTGCCTTCCCTTGCTCACACAGACCAGCCTTGCCTCTAGATGTGTTCACACCACTAATTAGTTAATCACTATGCAATTACCAGCAGTGTGTCGCTGATGCCATTGTATGTCCAATTGGATGAATGAGATATTTCACAGGAAGAAATTTGTTATTAATCATATTGAATAATTATCATTAGGCCACCCAGAGCAGTGCAGCCAGGTGGGATGGACGTGACCTACACCCACAAAGGAGATGGGGATCCTCGGGGTGGCCATGGGATGTTCCTCACACAGTTTGGGGGGAACCTGTGCAGCATGGCTCAGGCTGGCATCTCCCCCGGTGCCCTGAGAGGTGCCCCCGTGCTGGCAGGTCCCGTGGGCTCCCCTGGGCCTGAGACTGCTCCAGCCTTGCTGGAACAAAGGCTTCCCAAAGAAAGGAGCTTCCTGGAGAGCAAAGGACTCAGTGCTGGGGCTGTGTGTGAGCCCTGCTGGGAGGCTGAAGTCATCCGCTGGGAAATGCTGTGTTCACCGGAGCCTTCCCTTCTCCAAGGCCCAGCTCAGCGCCCGGTTTCCTCGGGCACAAATAGTTCAGTGGGTCAGGCCAAGCTGGAAAGTGCCGAGCAAGGCAGCTGAGGTTCAGCATCCGTGTCAGGAGCATCCTGGCTGCAGACATGTGCCTGTACAAGGGTGACAAATCCCCTGTGTCCCCAGCCAGACTCCCACTCAAGTAGGAGAGAGTGGGCGCTTGTGCCACTCCCAGTCCAGGGAAAACCCAGCTCAGCTGTTTTCTGCTCATGTGCTCTATTTTTTTCCTGCCAGCTCCCTCTGACAAGTGAAGGGCATCAGGGACAGCAGGAAGGTGTCCTGGGCCACAGTGGCTCTCTGCCTGGGTGCTCACTGCCACTCTGTCCTGCTGCCAACCACACCACAGGTCCTCAACAGCTGCAGGAGCTGAGCTGGGAGCACGGTGTGGGCTGCATCAGCCAAGCCTGGCAATCAGACACTGTATCTGAGGAAGCAGAGAAAGTTGTCTTTATTTTCAGCTCTTTTCAATAACCAGAGGTCAGCCTTGTTTATACAGGATTATAACTGGAACGACAACAGCGATATCCATTGTGCGAGCAGTGAAAGCCACAGCTAACCTGAAAAAGCTGTTTGCTCCGCATGGGTGCAGCCACTGCACCTCCTGGGCGATGGCCAGAGACCTTGGGCCTCCCTAGGGCTGTCCTGCCTCCCCTTCCCCTGCTTTT